GTAATTTAAGGAATTATCTATCATGCTACCTGATGTACGTTATATGAGGATCTGAGTGATAAATAACCTTGAAAAGTTAATGTGTGGAAAGAAACTGTCTTTTTCCTGATAAATTGGTATGCGTCCTTTATTCCAAATCTAAGGAYTATCAAACAATTTCTTCAGTTTTGCATTGGCTACCCTAAAGCTTATTTAATTCATTTCTCAATTGTAAAAACTACCCATCTCTGTGCCTGTTTCTATTTTTTTCTTTTATTTTCAAGTTGTAAGTTTTTACATGTCTTTAATTATGYCATAGTGAAAGCCACTTTAAATATGTTTTGAAAGTAGGCAGAATGCCTACGTGAAGGCTGGGCCCTACAGCTATCCCACATTAAACTACAAAATTCCTAGAGTAGCTTTTATCAAACCAAAATGTGCAATGGAAATCACCTGATAAGCTCAGTAAAATGCAAATTCTGACTCAAGGTGTGGGGTGAAGCCAGCTCCCAGAGATAGCGGCTCATGTGGGTCTCAGCCCACCCTTTGAGTAGGCAGCATCTTGGCAACAATATACTGCCAATGCATGAATGAAAAGTCCAGTACAGGAGGAATAATGAGGATCATAAACAGTAAGTACCATAAAGCAGAGCAAAAGAGATAGCCAGATCTCTGTTCCAATCTTTAAAAATCCAACTCTCAAACCCAATATCATTATTAATTTAATTTTTAATAACAAACTCCCAGTTTATGTTTTTCAAAGAAGTTGGTTCTGACTTATTTGTTAGGCAATTTACCATACACATYCAAATAAAGTTCTGGTTGATATGCTGTTTAAAATTTCTATTATTTTTAATATTTCGGGAGGAGAAAAGAAAAGAATGCTCATTAAAAATCTGGAAAGGGAAAATTYCCATATACCCCAAGTCCTAGGGTGAAGCTTCAAATTACAGCTGCCGTTTTCATTTATTTATTGCTGGTTTTATTTTGATTCTTCTTTTTTTATTGTCTTTGGCAGTATCTATGAGAAGGATCACAGCAAGGAATAAGGGAACAAGTCTCCATCATTTTAAGAAAATTCATCAGTTGTGATATTTATTAAGGAAATACTGGAACATCAGTTTGTTTAAAATTTTCAGTTTTTTTCCAGATTATTTCCAGTTAAGAGGATTCCTTCCCTTAGCCTTGGCCTGGCATTTTGCAAACAATAGTTTCTTAAATAATTCACAGTTAAGAAAAGGCCTAGGGCTGGGGTTGTGGCTCAGCGGTAAATTGATTGCCTAGCATGWGCAAGGCCCTGAGTTTGATCCTCAGCACCACATAAAAATAAATACAGGTATTGTGTCCAACTACAATTTAAAAAATAAATATTAAAAAATATATTTAAAAACAAAGAGAAAAGTCCTAACATTTTCCAATGTTTTTCAGTCTATAAATTCTCACACTGCACATTACATGCATGTCTTCTCCACAGAGTTTCATGGGTAAAAACCTATGTTTTGGTTAAAGATAAAATTAGCCAGTTATTTAATATACAAGGACTAGTAGAGTATTTTGTTTCACATAAGTAAAAAAAAAATTAGATTTTTTTTCCAGGTCAGAAGCTTTAAAGCCAAATGTATGAGTTTTCTATTGCTCCTGTAAGAAGTTACTATTAGTTCAGTGGCTTAAACAACACAAGTAATTGTTTCACAATTCCTGAGGTCAGAAAGTCCAAAACTGGTTTTATTGGGTTAAAACTCAGGGCTGTGTTCTTCCAGAAACTCCAGTGGAAAATCCATTTTCCTTATTCTCAGTTTCTAAATGCCTTTCACACTCCTTGGCTCATGACTCCTCTTCCATTCAGCACCAGCAATGTTGATGATCTATTTGTGACTTTCCTCCTCAGTCACATCTTCTTTCAAATGACTCTTCTGTTTCCTCATTCCATCTCTAAGGACCCTCAAGATTCTGTGGTAGTGTCCATTCCGATTGTATTATCATCAYTCTTTGAGAATAAGAATCATTCCAAAAGAACCAAAGCCATAACATTGGGCCCAACTAGATATTCCAGAATAATCCCCCTATTTTAAGGTCAGTTGACCAGCAATCTTCATTCCCTTTGCTATACAATATAACATATTCACAGGTTCTGGCCATGAGGATGTTGAAATCTTTGGGGACCCATAATTCTGCCTACCACACCAAGACAGTGTTTCTTTTTCCATTTACTAACTTGAACTTTCAAAAAATGATCAGGTTCTTTTACAATCTTTCAATACTAGGAAAAGAAGCTCTTGGGCCATAATAGTATGTGGTAATAATAACATGCTTTCCAGTTTTTGAYCATGAGCTCTGATGCTATTAGAATGACTTTCATACCCACAGAGCAATGCAAATACAGCTAGAGGCCACTACCATGGAATCATCTGCACCTGGAGACATTAGTCCGAATTTCCCGACTCCCATTAGAGTAAACTGATGCCATAGACCATGGAATCCAACTGTGACCATCAGGATTAATGCCCTGACTCTGCAACCAGGTTGGCCAGAAAAAGAGCCTTCTTATTAAAATTCTGATGAAGCTAAACCCTCTTCCAAATTGCTCCAATAAGTTTAGAATCATTAAAATTGTCAAAGGCACTAGGAAATAAAGTTCATTCAGTATCTTCTTAAGTACACAAAAAAATGTAAAATTAAACAGGTACATTTTAGTAGCCTCATCTTTTCATGCCATSATGGCAGACTGACAAGATGGTTGTTTTAAGCTCTAAGGACTTGAAATCTCTAATAAAAAGAGTAACACTTTGCATGTGAGCTTTTACAAATATATTCCAGACATACTTTCTCACAGGAACTCTTGGCTAAGTATAATTATTRTATTTCAATCAGGAGCCACAAAGTGTAAAGATTTTGAAGGGTTGGCTAAAGGCCCTATACACACACAGGGCCAAATATAAATACAAAAGTACAAGTTTTATATTTGAATCTATCATCTAAATACTGGAATAGAAAACAAAAGTATAGTTTTGAGATTACTGATGTTTAAAATAGGCAAGTCCAATAATCAAATGTTAAAATAGAAACTGCATGACAGCACATCAGACTGACTCTACTACCATTCCATGTCACACAAAGGTTACAGGAGGTGTATTGTTTCTTGTGAGCCTTGTTTTCTAACACATTAGAAGCGATGCCATTGTGAGAAAGCAGTCCYTTCCCTTGGGGTAACCAACACACTCAATTTCCACCCCTCTCACCACTGATCCATTCACTTGTTCTCCGCAAAATAGCATCTAAGGCAAGGGCAGGGCTGTGCACTGTTTGAAGAATCTATGGCTCCCTCCTTAGCAACACTCAAATGGGCCAGTCAGTTCTAAGATCTGCCTTAGGAATGGGATAAGGAGTTTTGTTCACCTAGGCCCTTAAAAGAATTCTGAATATCTATGTGTGTATTTTTAAATACATCTAAACATCTTTAACTTAAGATTAAATACTTGAAGAAGGGACATGATTTCTGGTGCTCTGTATATGGTACTTGTGTCTTTTACACATCTTTACCAGAACCTTAGGGATATAGAGATAATTCATTCAATCTATGCAAAATTTCTGCATAACATAATTGGTGAAGCCAATTCTTATTGATAAGCTACTCAATCCAATGAGTCTTTCTGTCAAAACAACTCCAATTGGTTTTCGATCAGATATGAAGATAGTCCTGGTGACAGTCACATATTTTCTGAATGCTAAAAGGAGCATTCAGAAAAAATAAGAGACACAGCCTTGGCATTTGCTCCTCACCTGGATGAATGGAGAGGAAGAAAGGCTATTGGAAAGAAATTCACATGCTCAGAGGCAGATTAGTTTCAAGAAAGAGTTGAAAGTGGAAGATTTGAAAATGAAAACTTGGAGCACTCCATGTGTGCCTAGGATTGCTGGGGAAAAGAATTTAAATTGCTCTCTGAAATATATTGCAAATATAGGTGGTATTCTAAAGCCTCTAATGGCTTTTTTTTTTTTTTTGAGGCATACTGAACCTTTGGAAAGACCTTAAAGTAAGTATCAAGTTCTCTTTATCAAAATGAAGGTTCAATCAAAGTGATGACAGCTGTGGTGTGTGGCCAACCTTGTGTAAATCTTGAACAGACAGTTCCAGCATTCCAGCAGCTGGTTCTGCATTTTCTCTGAGTCCTTTAGAACTCTATTGCTTTTGTTTTAACCCTCTGCCCATGCTTGATAGTCTTTTTGTGTGCTTGTGTGTGTGTGTGTGTGTGTGTTTGTGTGTGTGTGTCCTGAGCTTAGTCACCTTTGGCCCAGAAGTTCCAAAAGTGTCCCTGTGGAAGCCCTTTTAGTGCCAGAAACAGACAACCTTTAAAATAATAATAACCTATACCTGTTAAGAGTATCATGTGGTGCCAACAGAGGACCTGCTTATGCAAACACTGCAAACTTATACCAGAGGAGACCAAGAGCAGTGCACAGCCACAGTAGGAATACACTTTGAAAATCTCTCTCCCTTGATGTTTCTRGGGCAAAGGTTGTAAGGAAACTATTGACAATGGGCAAAAAAACAGATGCAAACAAGTTAAGTTTATTAGGTGCTTCATCTGTCATAGAAGAGGGATTTGGGCGCTTTCACAGAAGCTTCAAGTAACTAGACAATACCCAGTTTCCTTCGATGCTGCAAATTTATCCGATGGCGATGGCGGGTGCTCTAGAAAGCACCTTGAGGGCGAATGCGACTGAGGCCACTCGTGATCAAGGTCGTCGGATGCTTTGGGTAGATGATGAATCTTCTCATGTCACCTCTTAGAAGCAGGTCTGTGTCCCTCTCCACGCCCCACCTCCATTCATCCCCAGCTATCAGGTAAAGGTGGGTGGTTCCGAAGGTGCCACAGCGGAGGCAGCCAGGCCTTCAGACGCTGTGAAGCGTCACTGGGAAGGCGCGAGCACAGGGGAAGGCGCGCAGGTGCTGGCGCCCCCGAAACGCACACGGGACACCGGGCGCAGGGCGGGCGGTTGGGGGGAGGGGACGGCCTTACCAGATCAATGAACGTCAGAAATTTCCAGCTCCCTCCGTAGGTCTGATGCGAGGGCATTTCGATGGCCTTGTAATTGCACAGGATAGAGCAATAGGACAGCAGGATCGCCACCCGCAGCACCTGGCAGGGGACAAGCGCCATGTTCGCGAGAGGCCTGGGCGGGCCGGGCGGCGCGGAGGGCGCGCGGGCGGCGCCAGGCGCGCGGGGGCGAGCGCCGTGGGAACCCGGACGCGGCGTGACAGGGGGCGGGGGCTGCGGGAGAGCGCGTGCCCYGCGGGACAAGCGCGGCCGCGAGAGCCCGGGCGACCTGCGCGGGCGGGGCGTTGTTTGTGGGCGCTCCCGGTGGCCGGCTGCGGCCAGGCGGGCGGCGTGGCGTCATCTCTTCCGTCACCTTCGTCATTCTGCTCCTGCTTTCGCGGGGCCCGGGAGACCCGGCCGGGGGCGCCCTCTAGGCGTCCCGGGAAGGGGTGGGCGGGCTCCGAGAGTGTCACCCGGGCTCGGGAAGTGCACAGTGACTTGGAGAACTGCCGCTGATGGCATCTGCCGGGCGTGGAGGGAGCAGGGCCCGGGCGAGGGGGCCAGGAACCTGGATTGAATCAGGGGACCCTCCTGTCAACCAGTGTTCCAGCCCCTGGGACGCTGCTCTGGGCCAGGCGAGGTGCCCAGTGCGGGTCCAGGGGAGGTGTCAGCGCTGTCAGGTCGCCCCTGACTCATAAATCGTGCTTTCAGGCGGGGACTACCCTGCACTGTTCTGCAAGAGGTTTATCATCCTGACAACAAACAACACAAGCTAGAATATGAACTTTGGACAAGAGGTTTATAAATGTAAAGCTATAAAGAAAGTAGTGCCAGGTAACACTTGCWGCTAAAGACTCCATTCAATTCAAAAACAAAACCCATGTGCTGTAACTTAAGTCCTTGGGGCRTTAAACTCACTTTTACCCATTGACTTCCGCCGCCCCCACCCCACCCGCAGTACGAAACCAGAGCTTAATGGGACGAAAATAAATATAAACTGGATTCCCTCTGCCTTCCAGTAAATGTTGTCACTCTAAAGTTGCCTCAGTCTGTGGGCAGCATTTTTTTTTTTTTTCCCTTAAATCATGATCGTATTTCAACCAACCAGATGCAGGGTCACACTGTGATAGACCACATAGGTATTTCCTGTGGATCCATTTAAAACAGGTGTCCTCTCCAAATAGTCTCTGAGTCAGAGAGGATGTGGAGTAAGAAGTGGCTGGGTAAGCATAGCTTCAGAGGTAAAGAGAAAGTAGCAAATCAGAATGTTTTCCTGCGTTATTTTCAATGAACATCTAAACTAAAAAGAGACCCACTAGATTTTCTGAAATTGGCTTTGTAATTTTGCTCATAGAAATTGAAGTCACAAGGTTGTATTAGCATAAGATTGTTCTTCATTGATGATTTATAGACTTACTGTCATGTAATAGTTGGGTCTATTTTTGTGTGTATCCTTGTTACATATTCATAAGTTCCCAAAAAAGATTTTTTGGAGACTTACCTAGCTATCAAAGGCCTTGACAAAGTTTTGTGTGTTAATGTGATATTCTCAAAGTTGGATGTACCTTTCCTAGCTTAGATTTTAGAAAATCATCTTAAGACTCCCTGTCCCCATCATTACAAAATAAAATATTTCCATAAAGCTCTTTAAATTTTTTTCCTATGGTCAGTTTCTTTTCAAATAAATAATACTTAAGTGTTCAAACATAATAGGTTTGGTTGTGTTGTGTGATTTGCTAACCATAATGAGATAGTTCTATATATTTTTCTTTTTTAATATTTATATTTTTAGGTGTAGATGGACACAGCACAATGCCTTTTTATTTTTATGTGGTGCTGAGGATCGAACCTGGGTTCTGTCCGTGCTAGGCGAGGACTCTACCGCTGAGCCACAATCCCAGCCCCAGAGATTCTATATTTTAAAAAATGAAGCATTTGCATAAAGCTTGACTCAAATACTATTTTATGAGAATGTCAGTCTACAATTTTTAGAACTTCTTAATCACTATTTGTAAACATGTCCAGGGTTGCTCTCTTTGATTTTAATCCATATCTAATAATGTTATTCATGTTTTACAGATATTCTTTGTGATATAATATTGATATACACACAGATTATATTTTACAGTGTAAATAATACAATAGGCTATTGCTCTTAGAACTTCACTCAGTAGGTTATTTCTTTTTATAAACTGTAATACATTACTCACTTCTACGTGTGTATGATGATTCCACATTTGATTTAAGGAATACTGTTTACATTCTATAGAAGAAATATCTGCATGCCACTTTTTAAATTTTTTTCTTCTACTGCACCATTAATGAGATGGAAAAGAAAATCCTTGTCCTACTGAGTTTGATGGATACTAGTAAACATAAGAAACACCAAGGGAAGATTTCAAACCCTATTTTAACTTGTAGTTATTTTAATGTTCTTACTCTTAAGGCTATATAAGGGCTGAGAATACTCTAAGTACTTCTAAAAACTGATACAAATTCTGTGTGTGTGTGTGTGTGTGTGTGTGTGTGTGTGTGTGTTTGGAAGGGGAGAACTTGGACATATTGGTGGTGATAATACGTGCTAATTTTGGAAATGACAAGAACCCCTGTGTCTCCCTTATGTTGTATTCCAAGAAGCCAACTTCATTTAAGTATAGGTCTTTGCTTTAAAATTCTAGAGGAAGAACTGTGTTTATGTAAAGTTTATGATAATCAATGTTTATGCATTTATTTTAGTTCTGCATTTACATTAAATAAGCAATTTCTAACAATATCAATATATTTGGACCAATAATTTATCCCCCTTCACACTTTTTTGCCACCACAGGGGTGGAAGTCAGGACATGTCCTTTTCAGAGGCTTGGGCATTGGAAAAATCCTCTCACTATTGCAACCTTTCAGATGCTTTTTTTTTTCTTTATTATGAAAGTAGCATGTTGATAATATGAAAATAGGAAAAAATTCAACATTAGCTCCACCCAGAGAAAACACTGAATATTTTAGCATTTTCYTGCCTGTTTTTTTTATAATGCCTAGTTAGATGGGTGTAACCTACTATATAACCATTTGCATCATTTAAATTTATCTCTTAAGTTTAATGAGAATTTTCCCTCATGTAAAATTTGTGAAAATCATGTTTAATGATTGCATAGTGCAACATAATACGGATATATCATATTTTGCTTAAACTTTTCCCTGTTCTTAGATATTTAGGTTGTTTCCAGTTTTTTATCACCAAAAGTACACTGTAATGTCTGTGTTTTGAATTGAGAAAGTCACTTTTCAAGTATTATTTGGAGCTCAAAACCAATTAAGAAACCACACTTTTATAACCTAACACGTATACTTGTTCACACCTGTTTATATGAGCTGAGGTGCCAAGGAGAGTGCTTTTGCCCTGAAGAGCAGTTGAGAAAGACTAAGCGAAGTAGGTAAAAAATCATTTTTCCTGAAATTGATGCTCATTATAGCTTTTAAATTTTGCCTTAGATATAAAATGTAGTGCCAATACATTTGATTAGCCAGATATTTTTCCTATTAACCAGGAAGAGTTGTTTTTTGTAGGCCAAATGGAACAGCAGGCACTAGCAGTTTTGTTGATGTTGCTGACTATACCAGATTTGCTGATTTGAAAATGGAYTGTTTGTTATAGAGATCTTTGCTAAGGTATGAGATATCTAAATGCTAAGAATTCTATCAAGAATTGTTAAAAAGCTTTAGAAAAGTTAGTGTGTAGATCAGTGCACAGATCYCATTCATAAGTAAAGTATCCTACTGCTAACAGTGTGCTGGCCAATGCTCCTTGTCCTGCTTGGAATGTTCTCTCTTCACATACAGTCAAACCCAGCCCATCCCATAAGACATGGTGTTTAAGCCCATATCATCTGAGAACCCCCCTTTGGGGTTTATGATCTGGCCTTCCTATTCAGAAYGATCAACCTGCGTGGTTCATTGGTGGTTCAAATTCTACATATATAACCTGTACTCATTATTTCCTTCTCAAAAATTGCCCTCTCTGCAGTTCCTAATTTCTGGAAATAGTACCTGCCTTCCATGTGAGAAACATCAAGACAGAGCCAGATGGCCTGAGCCTCTTCTGCTCAAACATGCTGGAGGCATGGCAAGATAAAGGTCATGTACTACCAGAATTTTCCCAGGGGAGGATACCGTGGGTTTTTAAATGTTTCTTTTCATAAGCAACTTGAGTAGATGGTGATGATGGGCATAAGGACCTCCTAAAACATTTTAGAGTAACAACAAAGAGTTGCTAACTGTCCCCCACCCTCCACATGGCTGTCAGAGTAATTGCAGAGTTTTGTTTTGATGAGTGGAATATATAGGAATTGAGGAGCAGGACTAAATTTTGCTCTGGATAGTAGAGGTGGGGCTACCATAACCAGGGTCCTTTTTCTTCGCCACCGTTAGCCTCTATTCTAAATAAATACTGAACAAATATTTAAAGACTATTTCAAAAGGTTTTAAATATTTTTGAATGTTTTCACCATAAAAAAGAGATAAATATTTGAACAAATAGATGTATTAACCTGATTACACAATGTCTACATGTATTGAAATATCATAATACCCTACTAATATGTACAATTTTATGTATTGGTTTAAAAACTAAATTTAATTTGATAAATAAAAATGTTTTAATGCTGGGCTGGGGTTGTGGCTTAGTGGTGGAGCACTTGGCTAGCACGTTCAAGGCCCTGGGTTCCATCCTCAGCACCACATGTAAATAAATAAATAAATAATATAAAGGTATTGTGTCCAACTACAACTACAAAAAAAACCCATTTTTTTWAAAAAGATATTGTGCCCAACTACAAGTAAAAATTAAATATTAAAAAATGTTTTAATGTCATAAGCTCAAATCCTGTAGAGACCAGACATATACATAGTTAAGCTATATGTAAGGTAATAGGACATGACTAGGTCTATGAAAAATGTGAACAAATACCATTTACTTTTATTCTAATAAAGGCATTCCAATTTAAATTTTTGAAAATGTTGTGTCTTAGTCCTCTTTCTGTTACTATAATAGAATGCCTGAGAGTAATTTATAAAGGAAAGACATTCAAGTGATGGTCTGGAGTCTTCAAATCCAAGATCAGGTGCTTGCATCTGTCAAGAGACTTGTGCTATCGTATAACATAATAGGAAAGTAGAAGGGCAAGTGGATA